AAAAAAAAAAAAAAAGAAGAAGAAATTGACTGACCTCCATAGCATGCCAAAGACTTTTAATACCAGAACACTTTTTATCATTTAGTATTGTGGCAATTCAGTCATAGATCAAATTGGTAAATTTTTGAGTCTAAGTATGATGTACACACTGAGACAGTTTCTATAATTTTGTCCTTCAGATTGTGAGTTTTGTCCACAAACATGACAACAGAAATATTACAAAAAATTTTTTAAAGGCCCAAAGACATACAGCATTATTTCCTGTATATTTCACCCATGAAGCATTCATGTTGGAAGTAATTATAAACGTAGAGTTAATAACTACAATGCTTGTATAAAAAGAACTTTCACAAAGCTCTATGTTTTATAAAAGTACAAAAAAGTAAAAATAATTTTGATGGTACTTCCATTAACTTTAATTAGTTTAATGTAATACGTTGAAACTAAAATCTTTTTAGACTTTAATAGTATTTAGGAGGATCAACACAAATTTCATTCATCCATTAATCATTCAAAACAATGTTTATTAAATGCGTATTACATGTAAAGCTCTGCGTCTAAGAGAATAAACCCGAACATAAATAATTCCTGCCCTCCAGTCACCGTCAGTCAAACATGGGTGAGGGGGAAGTGGGTGGATACAATGCAACACTGGAATACAGCTACAAGGCAAAGGTACAATGCATCGGATGGAAGGAAATATACTTGGTGTATACAAGAAAGAAGTCTGACCTCAGCTAAGGGGTAAAGCAAAGCCTCCGTGGTGGGAAGGGGAGTAGAACAGACAGGAAGAAAAACGTAGATGGGTAGTCAGGACAATGAAATTAAAGAATGTTGGTACTGGGGCGCCTGGGTGGCTCAGTTGGTTAAGCAACTGCCTTCGGCTCAGGTCATGATCCTGGAGTCCTGGGATCAAGTCCCGCATCAGGCTCTCTGCTCGGTGAGGAGCCTGCTTCTCCCTCTAACCCTCCCCCCTCTCATGTACTCTCTCTCTTTCTCATTCTTGCTCTCTCAAATAAATAAATAAATCTTTAAAAAAAAAAAAAAAGAATGTTGGTACTGCACGGTCACGGAAGGTGAAGATACCAAGAAGAGAGGTGTTAAGAATGACTTCCAATGGTGTCACTTGATGCTAAGTGCAGCACTGAAAGAGTGCAAGGCTTGGAAAGGTTCCATGAGCTCCCGGAACAAAAGTGTTCAACTAAAGGTTACCGAGTGCCTGTTCAGGTCAGTGAGAATATAGCAATGAACAAAAGAGAAAAATCTGTGCTCTTGAGAAGCTTATGCTCTAGTATTTGGATCCAGAATATGTGAGTTTTCAGTCATTTTTTAGACAAACTGGGTAAGTCAAATAAATAGCTGGATACATAAACCTAGATCTTAGGGAACTGATCTGAGTTAGATATATAAATTTGGGCATCACTAACATTTGGATCAAAAAAATTACAGATCCTGTAAAAAACACAAGAGGTTTAAACTTCACTCATTAAGTTTTCGTACAGCTAAGAATTGAAGATCTGTAAGGGGTATGTGCCCATCAACAGGTAACAAACTTCCTGCAATATTTTAAATAAATTTCCTACCAACTCAAAATAAAGTCTTATTAATAATATTTCTTTTATCACTCTATCAGACCTTATTTATGAATGTTGATTCAAAATTTTTTCAATACTTTAGGGCGCCTGGGTGGCTCAGTCATTAAGCGTCTGCCTTCGGCCCAGGTCATGATCCCAAGGTCCTGGGATCAAGCCCCGCATCAGGCTCCCTGCTCCGCGGGGAGTCTGCGTCTCCCTCTCCCGCTCCCCCTTCTTGTGCTCGCTCTCTCTTGCTCTCTCAAATAAATAAAATCTTTAAAAAAATAAAATAAAAACTTCTCAACACTTTAAAGATTAGTATTTATAAAGCCCTCCATTAAGAGGACTGCAGCTCTCAGTGTCACCTAACAGCAGTTTCCAAGTGAGACGCTAATTCTAAAACGCTAAGACCTGGGCTCTGAGTCGCACCATTACGGACATGGGTATGTGATGAAGGATTTTAAAAACATGGTACAAAAAATTTGAAAGGTAGTATTTGTTATTCATGTGATATTTTCTAATAGAAATCATGTTATAAATTGTGGAGGGGTTCTCTAGACGGCCCATGGAATCCTGCTCAGCCCACCTGGAAACCCAGGCATGGTGTGAAGCGTTCCTATAAAGATGAGTCGGGTGAAGCCTGTTATCAAGGTGCTCACAGTCTAGGAAGAATAACAAGACAACCAAGAAGAACAAATACCCAATAAAAATGACATTCCGTGAAGTACAGTATTAGAAGTACAGCATACATGTGGAAAATAGAGGAGGTTAATTCTGCAAATACACCACTACAATGAAAAACAGCAAAAAATCTTGTACTAACATGAGGAATGAAAACTAAGTTGAATGGGTGGTGGATCTTTATTTCTACAAGTTGGTGACTGATGAGGAAAAGAAGGAAAATACAGAGAGTTTGTGGACTGCATATGCCTGACACCGTCTCTAGCAATTAATGGTATTTTGGGTTTTGACTGGGTTTTCCTCCAATTTCATCATTTTTACAAGAGAGCAACTTAACATGTTAAAAAAAAAGTAATACTTCCAAATATTTTTTGTGTGTGAAACTAAATTGCTCTAAAAAGAACATTTTGGTAGCATTTACAATTCCTTAAAATGCACGTATCTTTTGACCCAAACATTCCAAGGTAGGAATTGCCACCATTAATAAACATGAAATGAGGCAAATGTAGGGATATCCACTGCAGTATTTTCTGTAACAGCAAAGACTGAAAGAATATGTATATCCATCCAACAAAACAAAACTGCTTAACAGGAAGTATGTCGATATAATGAATACAAATGATATTTAAAAATTAGGCATGAAATGCTTACTAAGATTTAAAAATCTCTGAAATGTATTGGTTAATAAGGCAAAATACAGAACCGTGTTTGTAAAATGCTGCTGTTGGAGTTAAAAAGAACATATGTCTCTAAACACATGGAACATGCTTGCTTACTTATACGCTCTTTCTGAAGGACCCGAGGAGTGGGGGGGGGGGGGCAGCGGCTGCCCCAGGAACGGCAGTAGGTGTCAGGGAGACAGCACAGGAGGAGAGACTAAATTTTAGTTGCAAATCTTCTCATAGCTTTTTATATGATGTGCATGTATCCCTTAATTTAAAAAATCTGATTTCATTTAAAAAATAATTCTTGGGGCGCTCCTTTCTTCAATGACTTCTTCTATGACTGCTGCTGTTGTTCCCTTCAGGATCACTACGAGGGCATGGGCTTTGGAGGAAGGTGGGCCTGGCCACCTCCAAGCTCCAGAGTCTCTGAGGTGTGACTCCCTCAGCAAGTTAACTGCCCTCAGGAATCACTGGCCTCCTTGGTCAAATGAGAATAATCAGCACACCCTTCCTTTAAGTGTACTTTGCAAATTATATGCAACAACACACTGCTGTTTTTAGTCACTACTTCATCAGTCTGACAAATCTTTACTAACAGGTGATGTGCAAGGCGCTTCTAAACACACACTATTTCATCCAACCCTCACAACAAAGGTGCAGCTGAGCATTCCCACTATGCAGCTGAGGTCGCACGACTAGGAAATCTAGAGTCAGGACTCAAGCCCAGGTCTGTAACTCCACAACGACCTCTTATTTTGACATGTTACTGAGAGAGAGAGAGGCTAAATCGGGGGACACTGGGGAGCACAGGCTCAGGGGGAGTCAAGCAGGCAACACTAAAAAAAAGAGGGAACAATTAAATCTGGACGTGAAGCGATGTATGGCTTAGGCATGTGCCAAGAAGAACAGAATGCAGGACCAGCTCGGACTACGTGGCAAGGGGAAGATGTGGTCTAGGGGCCGTGAGAACAGTCAGAGCCACAACCTATGGCGACAAAGAGCAGCATGAATTCAAAGACCATGAGGAAGAGCGGAGAATGAGCGGGAACGGGGGTCTGGGAGGAGGCCGAGGACAAAGGCAAGTCTTTCCTTCTGGACCACAGCAGGAAACATGCACAGTTCCTCACAAGGACAACAAAAAGCCATGTGATGGGCTGTATGCAGAGTACTGAAATAATCCACCTTACGTATTAGAGAAACACGTCTGGCTGCTACGTGGACAGAGCAAACACAGGAGGAAGGTGATCTCGGAAAGTAGAACAGGTAAGGGGCGAGGAGGCTCGGGAAAAACAGTGAAGAGAAATGCACAGATCTCAACTACACTTTGCAAGGAGAATGAACTGGCTGGGGGGCTGAGAAAGAAACATGTCAAGAATGATTCCTAGGTTCCCAGCTTGAGGAAATAAATGGGTATCAATAGTTTTTACTGAGGGGGTACACTGACAGTAAAACAACTATGGGGAGGGGCGCCTGGGTGGCTCAGTTGGTTAAGCAACTGCCTTCGGCTCAGGTCATGATCCTGGAGTCCCGGGATCGAGTCCCGCATCGGACTCCCTG